TTTTTACACATTTTCAGTAAATAATTATCACTGCGGTTAAAAATCAATGAAGGCTTTTCAAAAAAAAGAAGATTCTATTACAGGAAAGAATACAACATGTATTTCTTCTTTCTGTAATACAATCTTTCGAGTGATAAAAAATCAAAATATTGGTTTCATTGAATGCATTCATAAATCTATTAGAATATAGGATTTAGAAAGTAGCATTACAGTTATCTCGCTATTATCGTAATTGGTGAGGTGCTCATTCGAGATATAACTCTAAAGTTACTGTAATTTGATTCACTCAAATTGCATTATAATAGCAAAATTTTGATCATTTATTTCTATGTGTGTTTCAAATATAAATTATTGAGAAGAGATAAAATATTCATGTCATCTTTGATCTAAAGCTATCTTACTTTTTTTACTCAATGCTTTGAGATGGATCCGAATTCATTTCTTGCAGTAAAGCAGTGAAGCGTTTTAATTACATGTAGCTAATTATCGAGAGAGATTTTGCTTCCTTTCAAATTCAACTACTACTACTACTGCTGTTGTTGTTGTTGATAGAGATGATGATGGTTATGGTAATATCACCGATAAATTTAGATGAATGTAAGAGTTGGGATGAGAAATTTTTTAACTTATGCTTGTACAAAAATTTTTCAATTATGATTAAAGTTTTTATTTTTATTGCTTATACTAAACTTTTATTAACATTTATATTCTCATCATCATCAGGAACAGATTTCTCGATAAGTTTTTTTGTCTTCACCATTTTGTACAGTTATTAAAGTGTGGTAGAAGAATTACCGAACAGTTGTTTAGATTTAAATAAGAGTACGGTAGCCGTCATTAATTTAGTGATGATTTATTTGATCAGTATTTTACTCTTCCGGAAAAAGTATTATAACTGTTATTGGTTTTCATTCGAAATGAATGAGTGAGGAATTGAAAAATGGTATATTGGAAAGAGGAAAAGTATTTCGATTGTTTTGTCTAACAGAAGAAGTCTCTGATTTCATATCTATTTTTTCATTTCATTACAAAACGAATCCTTGCCTTCATCAGCATTTAATGTAGTATAATGTGGGAAAAGAATGTCTTCCAGGCCTTCATCATCCATCCATCCATCCATTCCTTCATGGAATGGATGATGAAAAGAAGCATCTTTTCTTAAAAAACGAATAAAAAGCTTGAGAACTATGATTTTGTTGCCTGTGTGTATATATTATTGTACCTACAATTATCCCTTTCTCGTCTTTTTCTTCCCATCCATTCCTCTTCGTATTATGTTAATAGTTGAAAAATAATAGATTACATACGGCGATTAAGTGTTTGGCCTGTGAAGTAGCATCAGCGCCATTCAACTCTATCTCCGATCGCATAATGTTAATGCCTTTTTTTTTGTTATGGTTTAAATATGAAACTTAACAGGAAATAATATTTCATAAGCATTTGGAAGAAGATAAAGATTTTCATTTTTCATTTATAAATATAATAAACAAAAATTGTGGTAAAGAAGAGAAAATAAAATGGTACAAAAAAAGGAATTTCAAGTTTGTGAAAAAGAAAAGTATGAGTAAAGTTTACTTGAAGTGATCATCACTTTCCAAATGACATCATTTCAAACATTATATTTTAAATATGAATTCGATTGATGTGATTTCGGAAGTGATATTCAAGATATTCCCCGTCACACTTATCTTTTTTTGTTTTGATTCAAAAGCTTAACTGAGGTCTTGAATGAAGATCAAGAAAACTTTGCATCACACATATTGCATATTATATTTTTTACTGCACTAAATGTTTTGGTCGTAGGAATATTCTATTTCATTCAGTTCATTTCACTAATTAAGCTGACGGCGCTTTTGACATATTTAGTAATCACTCGTCAATAGTTTTGTTCGTTTCTAGACTTACTTGAAGTTTTCTGGAATATATGTCCTGATGTATTTTAACTCTATGCCATGCTATTACAGATTTCCAGTTCACCTCGAAAACTTATTCATGTAATTATGCAGGAATTTTTACAATGCCATATTTAAGATAATGCCAGTTAGAAAACATAAGAAATCAGTAACATTAAATCTAATGATAGATCCCTCTAATTATCTTTCGGACGAATATAAACTTTTCTTTTTTTTCTATCACTAAATTCTTTCCTCCACTCTGTATGAAATTTCTAATACATTATTCGTCATATGAGGAGGAGAGGCGGGATAGAAGTGATAAAAAAGAATGGGAGCAGGTAATATCATTATAATTTTTCACCTCAAATAAAATGAACTTTGCCTTTTCAAATTTTCCTTTCCTTTCGTTTCCACTAAATTTCATGATCAAAATTTGCTAAGTTTTGATTTTCAAACAGTTGTTTTTTTGTTAAAGAAAAATACATAAGTTTTTATTTTAAGCTGGTTCATAGAAAACAGCATATCATTTCGATTCTCATTTATTTTCTATTGCTGCAATTGTGAGTGAATTTCATTCTCGAGAGAATACATGAAGTCATCATCCTTCCGGATAACTTGACTTCTCAACAACCAGCAATATTATTTTGCCATACCTGAAGCTTCCAAAAATGTCTTGCTGTATTGCTTTTCTCACAATGACATACTTATCTATGCTTATCTGACCAATTATTTCAATTAGATTTTGTTAATTCTTCCCAAGTAATAAAAGACATTATTTCCCTTTAGTACAAGTAGAAAAAAATTGTTGTGAAAATACCATTGAAATCTTTTATGAATACATATTGTTAAGGGATAGAACTGTCGTTTAGCTTTTAACTTTTCTAGCTTTCAAAGCTTCTTTACAACTTTCAATTATACTATCAAAAAAGGGATAATTTTTTGTCATAAAATAAATAAATAAAATAGTTGTGAGCAAATGGATAATTTAAGGTTTTATAAAATCTTGCGGCTATTTTAAAAGGAATGTTGTTTCTGTATTATCATTAACAAATAGTACAGGGCTGATATCAACATAACAAAAGCGAAAGAGACCGTGGTTTGCAGGGTTTTTTTTTTTTAAATTGAAAGATCTCCAAAAGCTGCTCCTTTACCCTCGTTATAGCGGCAACTTCTAGTGACTTTTTGATGTAGCCGATAAGCTAACTATTCTTTAGAAAAAGCCATCAAAAAAAGGAGCTGCTTCATTCTGCTCGATATATTAGACTGCGTGGAGACATCCAAAAGCACATCAGCGATTTCTCCCATCACCGATGTATTAAAAAGGTATTAGCTGTAGCTAACAGTGGTCGAGCGGTTGATAACATAAGAGTTTTATCTTTAGCAACAAATGTTTGTCTTATATAAAATAATTAGGATGATGGAAAATTATAAATTTAGGTGTTAATATTCGTGATACTGAAACTATTGTGATATTTTTAAGCATCGTAATTTCAAGCAATTAACAATCAATCGTTTACCTGTTGATGCACTGTAATCAGATAAAGGATAGCTACTAAATTTCTCTCGAGCAGGCATTAAAAGTTTTAGTCCGAAGATAGGTATATAAATTGATACTATTCGGTTCAATGGGCAAAACCACCAATCTGAACCATTCAATTTATTTATTTCGCTTTATATTGCCAAAACCACTTTGCATTGATTGAATAAATACATACAGAGAGGCGTAGCAGCAACTACTAACACCACATGGGGACCATATCATCTCCTTTATATAATATAAAATCATATTTTTCGATAAACTTCTTTACGATCTTATAGCATTCATCTTAATATGCGTTTGAGCTTTATGTTTCATTAATATTCTTTCAAATATTTCAGTGCAATCATACCAATCATTCTTACCAAAATCAATTAACGTTTAGTTTATTTTGTCTATCAGGTTTGAAAATCAAAATAGTTTTTCTTTTTTTTAAAAAAAGAAATGGAAATTACAGATTAAACATTTCATATGATATGAGGGTGTATTTAAAGCGATAGCTAAGATTATTTTTGTACTGAGAAGATTTTTATCATTTCCATCCATTTATCATTTAACAAAAAAGAAGTGAATTCTTTTTCAGAAATAAAAGATAGTGTGAATTGGTTACTTAATTTAATCTTCTGATTTACAACATTTGATTTTACAATAATTTTTTTAAGTTTCTATTTTTAAAGGAGTTGGTGCATTCTACCACAATGATCTTAAATAGCAAATACTTTTCTTTTCACATTTTTTTCAGAGAAAAAATAAAGTAATATAAACTATTGCTGAAATTAAGAAATATTCTTTCTTGATAGGTTCATTTCCTATCCATTCCTTCTCTCGTTCTTTTAGTTCATATCACAAAAATGAGAAAATGAAGCAAGAAAGAATTTATGTTCTTAAATAGCTGGTATTACTGTGGTCAGTTCTGGATCAGATATGCATGTTTCATTATCCCATATATAAGAGATGAGGTGATTAAAGGTAAGTATCAGGAAAAAATGTGTTATGCGCAATCAATACATTAAGTAATTTGTGGTTGGGTGTTTGAAATGTTAGTTGATTGTTTCGTTTGATTCAATTTAGAAAATGCTTCATTACTTGTCTCAGTCGACTTATACTCTGATTTTACTATTCTCATTCAATTTCTCATACTTCCTTGTCTATTTTCGAAATTCTCTCCTTTTATTCCCTTTCTTTAATTTCTTCCTCTTTCCTATATATTTCTTTCTCTTTTTTTGACAGCTGTTTTTTTCATTCAAAAAAACCTTCCTAAGTATATCAGCAATTATTCTTTGTCTACCTTTTTTATTCAATTCAAAATGCACTGAAATTTCGTGACTAATGGAATGATCGGAAGATACGATGGAATCGATACTTTCCGGCGATATAAAATCACTTGAGTAGCAGCAGTATGAAATATTTTATTTCTTTATATTTGATATTTGGTTGGTAGAAATGATAATGTATTTGATCAATTGTTAATGAAATTTTCTTTAGCTAATTCATATATCAATATTTTCCTCAGAAATTTATGTATCAAAAATTTGAAATTAGACGATGACTTTAAATATGAAGTGATTATGAAAGATGCGCGAAGTATTGATGAAAATTCTCTTGCTATATTTGTGAAGCGAACAAATGAGCTCTTTATACTTCTAATTTTTATTTTAAAAATATGATGGGATAGATTGGACTAATGTATCATTTCAGAAACGAAAACAGAATTTAGTGAGCACAAAAGAGTGGTACATTCAACGAAGACCGATGGTGAGCCAGCGATGGCTGAACTGTGTCCTCTCTGTCCATGCAAATGTATCGAATTGCGTACACATCTTGCTGAGGTATCATTCTTTTTCATTTCAATTATTTCTGCCTAATAATGTTGGAAAATACAATGATGGGTCGTTTGAACGAGTTTTACCTTTGCTCTTTTTAAATTATTGCTATCCTATGACTAATCCTAAAACGTCCGAAATTAGTTCATCATATAACAGAACTTTATAACATTATACCGAAATAATGTCAACACATCCTATATGACTATATGGCTTTCGTATTCCTTCGAATTTAATACCACTTCCAATAATGAGGTTTTCCTGTTGCGTAAGTTTATTGTTATATAGGAATAGTAATAATAATAATTAGTAATAATAATATTAATAGTAGTATTAAATAATAATAATAATAATAATAATATAGCATGATTCAAAGCCTACCGAATATTTACTTTTGAAATTATAAATTATAAGTTTAAAAAAAGATGAAATTATAAATTAAGGAAAATAAAAAGATTAACTTAATGTATCTTCTGTGCTTGAATATTTGTGCCTGATCACATTTTTGTTTAACCTTTATGCAAAACTTGTGTCTTATTTTTTTGGAATGGTAAGGAAAATGATGAGAAAATTGAAAAAGTAAATGTTAACTTTTGACCTCAAAGATTTTCGCAAAAAAGAATATTTAAAAGCTGTTAACAAATATTTCAAAAAATAATATGTAGAGCATATATGGATTGCATCATATTTTTAATTTTTTTAAATAGCGATCTGTCATGACAGTAACGTTGATGGAAAAAAATGTGTGTTTGGAAATGCAAAGGCGACTACTTATATTAACTACTATGTATTATTAGTAATCATTTATCGGAGAAATTTTTTTATTGTTTTAAATCATTTATTGACTTTATTTCCTTTATTACTTAGTTATGCTGATGATGTTAAGTGGTGTAATAGGCCTTAGCTATCTCCTTCTTACTTCTTATTCCATATCAAAATTGATTTGGAATTCGGAAAAATAAAAGGATTAGTTGAAATATCCTTATTTTTAATGAAATAGTGAAGAGCAGTGGATATTTCAATGATATTCTATTCGTATTCAATTGAAAAAAAAGAATGATTCTAGTTCAGTTGGTGACACCATTCTCTTTGTAAAAAAGAATTCGTGAATGACGTTTTTAAACCAATACATTGGATATTAATACATTAATATCAGCTGTGGCGTTACTACATTAAATTAAATTAATTAAATACTTAGATGCTAACAAAATTAGAGATAGAAAATGAAATTTGATTGCTATTTTTTTTTCGAAGTGTTGAAGAATTGTAGAGAGGAGTGTGGGTTACATTTTCATAGAAGATGTTATTGCATCAATTTTGTCGCCTTTTCAATTAAGCTAATGAATAAGCCACGTGAGCAAAATTTCAATTTATGGAGGTAATTTGTTTGAACACTAAGAGGGGAAGCTGGAAAACCTGATTTTGAACACTAATAAAATCATCCTTCACTAATATACCATCCATAAATACAAACAGACAGCACCACGAATTTTCGCCAGTTAATTTCTAATCGTACTGCGACGCTTCAACTCTATGAACTACTTATTTATTCTGCATGTTTCAATCTTTAAATTATCTTAATTGATTGTAAAGTTATCTCAGATGACAGATGATTCAGAGCTGTGAAATCTGCAAAGGTTAATTGCCAGTACTTTCAATTTCAAAGTTTTGAGCTCATTAATTTTAGATTGTATTATAATTTATTTAATTTCAGGAACATAAGATAGCGGAAGAGGCAATTGAGCGGCTGCTTTTGGGTACTACGCCATCGAGTCTGCTCAACGATTCGACATCTGATAAGTGGTAAACCTTTGAATTCTTTTCTCATAAAGCAGTTCGGATTGATTTATTAAAATATGAAATTATTATTGAAAAGCTAAAAGAGTACCTATGTATATTTAAAAGATCTTATATATATATATATATATATGCATGCGCCTTTGTTACAAGGCACATTTCAATTATGGAATAATTTGAGCAATTGCCTATTTAAATTATGGAAATTGGAAAAAATGTCAATCAAATTCATAATAATCCGGTCAAAAATACCAGCAGTAATTCAGTAAATCAAAGGAATAATTTTGATGATTTGTATGGAGAATGCATGGCCTTATAATAATTACTAAGCATTTACAATATATGAAGAAATTCAAAATTTGCAAAACGAATTTGCAACAAATTTGATGATTAGTAGAGTAAAGTTCAAGTTTTCTGGAGAAATAGGAATGGGAAAATTATAAAATCGATAGATAATATATTGAAAATTGCAAGAATGTTTTAACATTATAAAAATAGTTCAGCTATATTTAGCTTTAACAGTCTATTCGAAACTATTCCTGATTCCTGAGTGAGAAGATAAGTGCCGGAAATTAGAAATTTAAGAAGTCATATATGCTGCCATCATTTAAAAAAAACGCATATCATATGATATACGTTCGATGCAATTTTTGCTTGTCGCGAGGGAGCGCTCTTTTCATAAAATGCCCTATTTCATTCATGACGTATTTTTCCGAAAAGCAGTAGTGTTTTAGTGGTTTGAAATCTGCCTGTTTTTTTACAGCCATTTTCCCAGCCAGCCGCATCATTTGATAGAAGCTGATGCTTGTACCCTTTTCCGTTTCCTCATCCCATCCCCTACGGTTTTGCACTAATTTCCATAAGTCTATGAATTGTTTGTGTTGTAGCAAGTGATGCGCTCGATTAAGACGGCACTTCGGTTCGTTCTTCTTGTTGAGAAATTGAATCTTATTTTCAACTTCATTCTTAACCTTTCTCAAATTTAGCTAATCGTCTAGAAGGAGTGAAAGCCTTGTTTTATTGATTCAGTAAAATTAATCAATGCAATTTTTTTTAATTGCATTAATTTCAATGAATATAAATGTTTGAATTGCTAAAATTGTTCAATATGCACTTGACAGAGATTTGTTTGTTTTTTTTTTGGTACCTTATCATCTATCGTTATGCTGATGTGCTACGGTAGCAATACAGCTATGCTTTTGGCATCCACCATTACATATTCATGCCAAAACATCTATTGTCTTCAAATTATCTTCTAATAAAATACGTTATCAACGATGCATTACGTGATAATAACAATAGGCTTGAAATTGAAAAATGATTGATTGTTCAGTTTAGTAATTGAAAAGAAATTAGATAAATAAGTCATGGCTCATTTATGAATTCACTATGTTCACTACGAGAATGATTTCTTCTTCTGTAATTTTTAAACGTGGAAAATTATATAATTACCCGATGTAGACTATATTTTCAATTTCAAAAAAAACTTGTTCCTAATCCTCTTTGAAGTGTACAAATTCTTAAAACAGTTCATCAATTCCTTTTTTCCATAATTCTCAAATCCGAAAGATAATATCGCTTTCCTTCACAAATTCTCTTCTTCGAGTAGAAAATATTTGAAATGCATAATAGATGTAATTCTGCAGCAGCGTGTTCAACAACTGCAAGTTTTAATATGCAAAAATATTCCTGATAATAATCACTTCATAGCTCTTTTACAATTTTCTAAATCTATCTTCTCTGCTTTCATTTAAAATTCCACAATGGAATTAGTAAATATGCATAAAATTCTGAAAGAAATAACACAAGGCTTATCTCACGCCAAATATTTTGATTTGATTTAATTTTCTAACTTCCAAAAGAATGAAATGCTTAGCAATTATTAGATCGATCGATTGCTAAGAATGATAAGGCTTGTAAGACTATTTACCGAAATTCTTTGTCCTTAGTTTGGATCTATCCTTCTTGATTTTGATGAAATTAGACATAAACATAATTTTCACTTATTCAAAAATTGATATTCATACGATCGGAAAGTACTATATCCCTTCATATGTCTGCATTGATTGCATTAGCCAATTTGATTTCAAAGCTATAAAATTTCATTTCTCGAATACTTTGTCTTGAACATCAAAAGGATAGTATGCAAAGAAATGTTATCGGTATAAATTACCTTGAATTGAAATTTACATTAGCTCACTCTAAATCAAATAGTTCATAACGATCCAAAATTCACCAAACCGGCATCAATGCAATTATTATTATAAAAGATAGGGAGAAGAGAGGTTCAACATCATAGGAGACGCTCCTCGTGCTCACCCTCCCCTCTCCCGTGGTTTTGGAGTTTAATTGGAATTGCTAATGAGAAAAGGAAAGCTGTTTATGTGGTTGGTGATGCTTCATACTTTTGATTTATTTATTGTATTATTTTGTAGTCAGAGTGTCTACTTCGGATGGCTCTTCTGTTAGTCTGTCCGACAATTTGTTAATTTATTCTACGGTTTTTATAAATTCATTCATAGGCATATGAGAAAATAAAATTTTTGTAAATTTATTGCACGTTATTGCTCAGCAACTGGAAATTGTTTATGGTTAGTTGTGGTAAACATCTGGAAGTTGTTTACAAATTTCATTCAATGATCCGGTCCGGTTAACTGTATGGTCTAGCATCCCATCTCATTATTCATTATTTATCTTAATAATAGTTTCATTGATACTCTTATTATCGATTATCATTGTATAATTAAACTTAAACATATATGCAAAATATATTAACTTCTCCAGGTATTCTGGTTTTAGTTCAGAAATCAATAATTGATGAAAAATATTCATTGTTTGTTTTTGTTACTGTCATGTTATCATTATAATTATAATTGTTATTAGCATTGGCACATTATTATTTACAATTTGTTGTTATGAATATGCAATCAAATTTACAGTTCGAAAAAGAAAACGGATCGACAAATCTACCGTTATCATTGCTCACAGTGCTCGTTGGCGTTTCGCACTGAACAGCGTCTTGCCAGTCACACTTTGCATCATACATTCCGGTCCAGTACCCGTTGTACCAAATGTGATCAAAGTTTTCGCTCTCATGAATTACTGAAAAGGCATAATGCTCAGGAACACACTAATGGTCTGTTTCTTCTTTTTTGTTTTGTTTTTTTCTCGATCACTTTGAAGTCAGTAATTCATTACTTATTTAGAATTATTTCCGAAACTAATGTGAATTCTTTTCATGATATTCCTGAGATCTGTCGAATGAATTGATTGCAGAAGATTATAGTTATCAATAACAGAATCTTTTCAACATTACTATTATGCTATAGCAAATTTCATAATTTAGTTGGCGTGTATTTCTCTGATGATATTGATCGAATAATACGAGCTGTAATTTGAGAACATTTATATTAAAAGTTATTCTTTTAGGTAAAACTTATAATTCACCGACCACAAGCTCTAACCATTCTCAATCAATTGAAGCAACGATTGATGATAAAATGGAAACTAATCACGTTGATTCGTTAAGGTCACTTCACTAATCTAATTTTTTAAATGCATTGATTTAAAATATTTTAAGTGACTTATTTTTTGGAAAAATTTGAGAGATTTCGAGAAGTGTATTAGTTTGATAAGTTTATATTCAGAAATCATGCCACCTTTGTAATATTTCATTTGGTGCACATTGTTATGATTATTTATAACGAACTAATGAATTGACTGACCTGAATTCGACTAAATCGAAAGAATTAGTAGTGCCATGAATTATACTTCCAGACCTTTCAAATGTGAATTGTGCAAGGAAAATTTTGAACAAAAACATCAATTACTGATGCATTATAATTCAGTAGCACATCTTCATAAGGCTAAGAAAATGCTCGAGGAACAATCGAATAACTTTCAGCCTAGTGCGCAGGTTAGAATTTTTATTTCTACTCATCTCTCTTTTTCCGCTTCAATTTCTGATTCTATATTTCAATTTAGTTTGATTGTGGAGATGGTCAACTTAATTTAATAATAAATTACCAAACGATTTTTTAATTTCTTTTCAGATTTTGGCAGCACTACAAGCCTCAACAAGTTCTCAGTCGTTACAAGGAGGCTCAAAACCATTCAAATGTAATCTATGCAAATTAGGTTATGGACAAGGTTCTACGTTAGATATACATATAAGGTACTTAAATCTTATTTGATGAAAGTATTTCACTTTACTATCCTACGATTACTACCTTCTAGAACTTACAGCTTCTAGTTTTGCATTAGTTATATTAGATGAAATTTGTGCTTATAACTAACTATGGTTTCTTCCACATCAGCGTTTGAAAATTTGAGATTTCTGTTTTTTAAAGGATAAAATTATTGCCACATTTTTAAAAAAAATAATAATGATAGTTTCTAGGATTGAGAAGTCCGTTCTGCTGTTCTGATCTAACAGATTATATTTACTCAGATCGCAAGCGCTTTCATTAAACATTAGCAATAATTCGATCATAGTAGTGATGCAATTTTAATAATTTCATGCGTTTTGAACTTTTCAGATCTGTTGCACATCAATCGCGTTTGACTAAAATAGGCGAACTCCTAGCACAAGGTGAAATTGATGGCTGCAAATCGATCGTAGAGCAACCAGGTGGTCCAACACAAACGGTTTTAGCTGAATTAGCTGCTAAACATGATCCTACCAATGATCCGCTGCAGGTATATTTCGCTTTTTGTGGTTACAATTTATCTAATATATTAGTTATCAAGTTTTCATATTAATTTAATATTATTGGTTAATAATGTTTTGCAAAATATAAACATTAAAGAAAAAGTTTTATTGATTTACGTAAGCTTGCTTCCTCTATCTATATTTTCATATTTCCAAGAGCTTTTATTCACCAAAACTTTTCCTATCCTTTATTTTATATCTTTTATGTTACTACAAAATTTATCGTATTTTTTACCCAATTTCGCACTTTATCTCTTATAGTTACAACATTTGAGAGAATATAGTACTGTAATAAGTCACTGCCATTGATATCGATAGCATGTTGTAATTTTCTAGAACTATTCATCATAAAATCTGAATAATTAATCGGTCATGTCTTATTTCATCATTACATTTCTTAAGGCTTCCGCACTACTTTTTTTTTAGCATTGTAACATCACGATACTGTAGTAAGAATGTGTTTGATTTGTTTCACATGACGAAAAGTTTACCGAATTATTCATTAAATTTATTATTGTATTTTTTTTGCCTCATTTTTCTTCATTTCATGTAGCTCTCAACAATTTTGATCAAATGAGATAATTAAGATAAGTGATGGGTGGTCAGTGATAAATGCTCTGGTCATTTCACATTGATTTCAACACTTTTTTTCAGATATTCCTATATATATATGATAGGTTTGAAAACTTTTATTCTAATTTCCTTGTATAACTCCAACTATTTTATTCTAATTTCCTTGTATAACTCCAACTATTTCCTTGTAGGCTATTAAATTTCATCATAATGAAACACTCACTGTATTATATGAAAATGAATTACTAATTATGTAATTTCTGAATATAATTGAGTCTACTACTTGCATTCTTCCTATTACACCATAAATGACACATTGTCCAAAGTTTCATAATCTTTTAATGCTATCATTATTTTATACTAAATTCGTTACTACTGCCGTTTATTTTCAATTTATATCTTTATTGCTTCGAAAAACTTTTCCCTGATCTAGAATTAAGTCGAGTATTATTCATCAAAAGTGATCTGTCTCCGTAATACATTGCGGCCCATCATCAGTTGGCGTACTTCTATCTTTTACAGTGATATATGCCAATGGGATTGGTACTTATTGATGAAGTTCCATCAGACCTACTTAAGTATTATATTTCATTTTCCCATTGAATTATGAGGAATTCCTAACAGCTCAATCGGTTTTATTTTATCGCTTTTTCTCTCTCTTCCTGTTGATAATTCCATTTTCTCTGTATTGTTTCAAATTCTCATCCTCTATCATCCTCACTATTTTTCGTATGACTATTCTTACATCTCTTTGTGACACATTTATTTCCTCATGAACATTTTTTCGGTCTCTTTTCGTCTCTCGTGGGCATTAACCATCAAAATAATTACCGTATAATCTGCCGGATAAATAATAAATCATATGTGTATGTGTGCATGGAAAGAAGACAGACATATGTAGTTGCATTTAGTGATTCGATCACTCTGTCTATCTCTGTCAGTGCAAGCTTTAACGTTTTATGTATCAATTTTTGGATTTGCTCCTTCAAAGATGCGAAAAAAAGTTGACAAAATTTTGGTTATTTATTAACAGACAGCCAATATCAAAGTTATTTCATTCTTTCTCCACTCTCTCTCTCTCTCTCTCTCCATCACATTTCATAGTTTCACGCAAAACCAATGTTATTGGAAGTTTAATTTGAAAAAGCCAAGATTCAAAAGATTGAAAGGTTAGAATTTCATATTTTACTGACGATATTTCAAAGCACACAAACAATATTTCCATTCTGCAATAATACTCATTTTTCTGATAATTTTATAAAAGTTAAATGTCACAAATATCCAATCAAATAAATGTTTATGTTAATGTCTCTGATAAGGTATGAAATGATATCAAAAAAACGGATATTGTGAAGTATCCCGTACTCGATACGATATATGTTCCACTCTAACAATCGATTTTGCTTTGTCTTCCGTACCTTTCACTTATTTTAGTTTCATTTTAAAAGAAATCTCATACAACTTCAAGCGTTTCGGGATTTGTTTCAATTCCAGAATGATTTGAAATAATTTTTCTGAATATGCTAAACATGTTGATAACAAATCCTGACATACTAGCCTTTATTAACTTTCTAATCTGTACTCGAAGATGTATAAAAAAATTTTTCTGTTAGAAATGAAATTATTGAGATTCGGAAAAAAAATCGTTTATTGACTTAGAAAACTTACTGCTTCAGAATGGATTGGAGCAACAGCAACAATCAGCTTTAGCAATGATTAACATGTTGAATATGGCGCAACTTCTATCGATAGCATCCGCTGGTCAAACCGCTCTACCGAACGATATTCCGGCAGCGATAGCTTCTCAAGCTCAGACTGCATTGGCAAATATAGCTGCTGGATTTCCTCCCATCATTGCGCCATTTGGAAGTTAGTTGTTTCTACAGGTTAACTGAACTTTCTCGTAGAAGCAGAACAGAACCATCCAGTATAGTGTGCTTAAAAGCCCATTGTGGTTATTTCCTTTGGATTGAAAGTGACGCTATATGAATACGAAATTTTTTTAATTCCATTCATTTATCAATATCACATTTCAGTTTTAGCTGATTCCTAAAATTAAAATCATATTGCGCTTCTTTACTGATTTTCTTTCTTTAATTATTAAATGGCGGAAGTCCCGAGATACATCATATATTTCAGTTACACATTTCTCTTTTTTTCTTAGGCTTCTTTTAACTTCCTTTGTCATATAATATTTCAATAAATGAATATGAATACAATATGTTTTTTTAATCTATTTTAGATTTTTTTCTTTGAAATTCTGATAGAACTTAAGATACGATGTATTGTTATTTTCTACTTCATCTAAATTATCTTAAAATTAACCAAATTATTATCAAAGTGAAGGATCGCAAGTTATTCTATAACTGTTTTTTTCTCTAAATCGTCGTTTAAATAAACGTTCTTTTAGCTTACATCAAATATGAATTGCAAGTTTATAAGATTGTGACCTTATCCCATAATAAAACGAGTGAAAATATCCTATATAACGAAAACTTTATTGACATATTTTACAGGGCAGTTACCAATTTCAGCCGATAGTGCTGCAACGACATCAAAAACAACCAGCGAACAATCCATCACATCCATCGATGATGAACGAACCCCTCGTACCGGTGCTGCTTTTCGCAAGATGCTTGAAGCCTATGGTTAGCTGAGTTGCTGTTTTTAGTTTAAGTTGTTTTTCATAGAATGCATCAATTAATTTACTGTTAGCATTTTTACTCTCTCTTCTTTTTGCTAAATACGTCATTTTCACCGTAAGTTTTTATAAGTTAAATAAGTCAAATGATAATGATATATTTTAGTGACGAAATTTTAGGAGCGTTACTGACTTCAAGCACAGACTTTCCAGGTTTCGATGTGGTGATGCAATATAATGAAGGTTTAGAGCAACCTCAGCACAAATTGGATACGTTACCGGATGAGACGGTTCCGGATTTAGGCGGTATCGAATGCATAAAGTGCAACAAAATCTTTAGCAGTATATGGGTACTTAAAGCTCATTATGAAGAGGTAGGGAAGAAGTTTTGTTGATTAATCAATCAGTCACTTCTCGACACCAATCTTCCACATTTGTAGAATTGTTCGCTTCCGTAACCGTAACCGGTTTCTTGATATTTATTCTTGATGCTTGCTATTACTTATTTCACGTAACCTACTATTTTTTTTCAAAGATATAATAAAAAAATGTAAACTTTTAAGAGTGTAATTGTGAAACATCTGTTACAATTAATAATTTATTTCAGGTTCATGAAAGTACCGTACCGGTGATAGAGATTGAGAAATTTGCCAAACGATTGCAAGAAGCGTTGGATGAAAATGAAGAAAAGGAGAATGACGAGAACGATTTGAGTGGTGAACAGCAGGATATCACGGTACCTGCCACGACACCGGTTACAATATCCGATAGCAAAAAAAGAACATTGGGAAGAGATGAGCTGCCATTAAGTAGTAGTCATGGCGCTGAATATAACACTGATCATGAATGTTTATTCAATCAAGCTGCAACTGCTTCAGCTACAACTGAAGATGATAAGTACATACTCGAGGTAGATAAATAACATTCCAATAAAATAACTTACTATGAAGAGCTTTAATGTAATTTAAAAATCATACAATTTCATAAGGCATGATTCTTTTGAAACTTTGTAGTTTCTTAGAAAGAGTTCTTCCATGAAAAGGAATGCTTCTTTTTTTTTCCACGTAAACAAAAATCCTTGATATCATACAAAAGCATTCTTCCTCGTTTGGCTAATAGGCATTTAGTAAAAAAGCATTCGAAATTTTTTTTTAGAATGAACCTCGATATAAGACTTCATTTTGGAGATAATTATTGATAAATTATAATAGAATGCATCCAAAAGCAAAGATGAATTTTCAATTTTGTTTCAAAATTTTGCTTTATTTTTAATTTTATTCGATTATATTTAGACAAAAAAGCTGAAAGAGGACACACGATCCAGTTCAGCTGGTGCTACACCTCAGCCGTCAACATCCAAGGATTCTCCCAACCTGAACAGTCAATTGGCGATGATGAGCATGCTTGGATTTCCCTTTATGCCAAATCCTTTCATGCCACTTATGCCACCTGATTTTTTTACAAATCCACTCTTTTCCGTATCACAAAATGCTACCACAACTGTACCACATGGTATGCTTAAGACGTCAGAGATATTACTACCTTGGCTTACGTTCACCCGTTTATCGTACGTCTTTTCATTTATTTTTCATTCAGTTTTTTTTTTATCTCTTGCTCTTCAGCAATCTCCAACGCCTCACCAGCTAAAAGAGCTCGGACGCGAATCACCGACGATCAGCTGAAAATTTTGCGACAGTACTTTGACATCAATAATTCACCTAGTGAACAGCAAATCAAGGAAATGTCTATAAAAGCACAGCTTCCAGAGAAAGTTATAAAACATTGGTTTCGAAATACACTATTTAAGGTGACAATTTATTTTAAAATGATAAGGATAACGCGATTATTCACTTTTTTATTTGAGTAATCAGTGAGTAAATGATTTTTATTGATATTCTAAATTTTTGATTAAAGATTGTGTATCAACGATGCTTGATTTCATTCATTCCTATTTGCATCCTCTGCGACGATCTTTTTCAGGAACACTTTTTTAATTTTAGGAACGGCAGCGTGACAAGGATTCACCATATAATTTCAACATTCCGCCGCAAATGAGTATAGATTTGGATACCTATGAAAAAACTGGTGAAACAAAAATAACTACTCTTAAAATTGAGGTAGGTCTCTTTTGTTCTGCTTGAAGAAAAAAAAGTAGCATATTACGCACGGTCGAGAAATCAGTTCTTAATTCAACAATCAGGAATTTTAAATCTTGCTTTCCAGACCGAAGAAGAATCGAAACCACAACTGTTGCAAACACCTGAAAATCCAGCAAATATAAGCGGTGTAGGAAATTCATTATCTGCTGCAAATGTTCAGACTGCTCAGATTCATTCAACGCCTACAACATGCAATAATCCTTTTGCTACTTTCTTGCATGATGACAAAAACCTTTCGTACATATTATCAAGTACTTTTCGAATTTTATGTGAAGACTTTTTTTTTGCTTCTGTGATTTTCTCTTTTTCGTAAAATGTTATTCTTTCCATAAAAATGAAACCTTCAGGTTAGACAAAAGAGACTGTTAAGAGATTTTGATTTTCTGTTCATAAGCAGCAGTTAGCACCTATGGTTAATGGTTGCCAAAAGAATTGTTACCTTTTAATCATTAATGGACTGATATAGGAAGAGTTTCAAAAAAATCTAGCAGCTTTCATCGAATTTTTTAAAAACTCTAGTTTTCATCGAGTTTTTTTCTTAAGATTTACCATCTTCAAATTCGGTGACTGGACGTCGTGCTAACCGTACTCGCTTTACCGATTATCAGCTACGAACATTACAGCAATTTTTCGATAAGCAAGCTTATCCTAAAGATGATGATTTGGAAGTTTTGTCGAAAAAACTCCAGCTCAGTCCACGAGTTATTGTTGTTTGGTTTCAGAATGCTCGACAGAAGGTACATAATAAACGCTGCTTTCTTTTTACATCATTTTCTGACAGGTAAAAGTCGTGGACTAACAGATGAAAGATTTTGAAATTTATTCCTTTTTTACTTTATGTCTGTATCTTACACATGCTTCTTTGACTTAATAGTCCTCATATAATTATAGACAATCTATTAGCACTAGTGGCATTAAAATCTCTTTTTAGGCTCGAAAAATATACGAAAATCAACCAACAGCAAGCAACGACGATCGATTTATGAAAACACCGGGAAGTAATTTTCAGTGCAAACGATGCCAGTTAGTATTTCAACGGTACTATGAACTGATACAGCATCAACAGAAGTTGTGCTACAAGGATGATTGTGTAGCTCAACAAAAAGATAATAAGGTATATTTATAATAAAATGTATTCATTGGAAAGATTTTGACTTTGCTATTGTCTTTTGATTTAAGTTGTTTTACGATCTAATTCAAGAATGGTCATAATTCCATATCGTGCTATTTTTGAGTGCAGTTATTTGAAAATGTTTGTCTTTATTATAGGCGGTCGAAGAGAATTTAAGTGAAGATGAGAAGACCAGTTTGGAAAATCTACGTGATGCGTCACGTCTGAGTGCTATGTCAATTGCAACAACTAGTCAGGCAGCTGCTTTAGGTGGAGCATTAGCTCAGCTTATCGGTACTGCATCATCGGGAGCTGCTACTGATATCAATCAAGCAGAATTTCTGAAACTACAATCATCAACCAAATCACAAGATCCATCCATGAAATTAGTAAGATTTCCGCTTTTTATATCTATTTTGGGCTGATTTCCTTCATTTTTCAGTTTTGAAATTTATTAGGTTTTTCCTGGAACCCATTGTCATCTCATATAATTCCGCACTGACAATCATTTTTAAACGATTTTCATCTTTTATTTACCTGATCAGCTAATAATATACTAAAATTAATGATCAAATGGTATCTTGAATCTCTTTCAAGAAACTGATAATCGACAGTGTATGATGTGATCTGTCTGGGTGTTCGAGGAATTCTTTTATTCAACTGTGAGAGGCCTCTATAATAGTTTTTACCATGATAATATGATGTACTGCTGTAAATTGTGAAAGAAATTTGATTTGAAAACTGTGGGTATATGATAGGCGCGTCCTTTTTGATGTTCAAAATGAACTAAATCTTCTCATCGTTCAGAAGGTAAGGGATAAGAAAAAAGCGATATTCTATAAGCGCTGTCCTTTCTGTTGCCTATTATTCCATTCGCGAGATTCATTGATTGTCCATATTCCGAATCGTCATCCGGAGCAAGCTAACAGTACATCAATTAATGTCGACTTATTACCGGACGCTGAAGATGTGAGGAAATGCATATTCTTTGCCACTAATTTTTCTAATATCGCAGTATGTGAAAAGTGGTAGAAAATTGGAAATTTGAGTTGTCTCAGAGAGTGTTTCCAGATGGGTTAAGATAAATATACCGAATGGGACATGGCTGATCTATGGGGTCTATGTCCATGATTTTACGAAATTTACTGATAGTTTTTTACAGGTACCGACAATTACAGCGTTGGCAGGTGATGATTCATTGGGAGATGTGTCAAAAACGAATGGTTCTTCAAAAAAATCGGAACTTTCGCCACTTGACCTTAGTTGTGCCACTAACGGCGAAGGGTACGGTCTTCCCGAAAATGTTGATATTCTCGTTAAATCGTGTAAAATGTTGATTTAAATAACATGAATATCAGTGAACGATACAATAATGCATCGCCAATTCTTCAGAGTTGTCTTAAAGATTTCTCGATAATCAATTTTTACCGCATGGTTTTTGTTTATATAAAAACCAGCGTTACATTTACTAAATTAGCTCCCTTTATCAATCTGTGGTATTTTTTTCTAAGTTTAATTTTGAAAAATTGAGAGCTTTTTCTTAATTCATTATATTCTGGATACATAGAAAGAGATGGAAGTTTCAGTCGTGAAGATTCGCTATCAATATCTCCTTCATTCGTACATTCTGACAACGATGATAATAATAGTGATAACATGGATATCAGTGAACGATACAATAGTGCATCGCCAAATGCCACTGGAATTGGCTGTTTTGGAGCTCAGAGAAGTCCTGCTAGCTCCAAGCGGTACCGGACTCATTTGACACCACTGCAAGTTCATGTAAGTGTAATAATGACAGCTTATTACTCAAGAACCTCTAGAATTGTGCTCTTCAGATTTGATACTGGATTATTCCATGCAGGAATAAAATTACAGGTGATGAAAAGCATATTTATGAATTATAAAACTCCATCGATGAATGAATGTGATTTGTTGGGAGCCGAAATCGGTCTTCATAAACGAGTTGTACAAGTATGGTTTCAAAATGCTCGAGCAAAAGAGCGGAAGTCGCGATCACACAGTGGTCTGTTATTTTAGAATCAGATTATTTATTTCGGTATAGAAGTTTCTGCCGTCAGTGATTCTGCTTTTTTAGGAATTTACATGCAAAAAAAAATCTTATGAGAATTATCAGAAGGTTAGGTAGCTAAAAAACGTTTTTTTAAGAAAATAAGCTAAACAATAGCTAAACAATCTCGATGAGTCGAAAAGATTGCAATTAACTAGTGAATTATCCCTAATAGTGTACGTCTAAACATAAAACTATTAGGCAAACTCTTGGGACCAGTGAACTTAAATTATGACCTCAATTGAAGAACGAAATAGTCTGTTTTTTACTTAAATTGATTCATCAATTCATCGAAAATTATTTAGGTGATGAAGAATTACTTCGTTGTGCATCGACACGCTGTGCAATGTGTAGTGTTAGTTACGATCATCGTGTTACGTTGCATGATCACATATTCACCACTGGTCACATTAATCGTATTAAAAAACTTCTTCAAACAGATAATATTCAGACAGAAGGATTAATAGATTTAAATGTACCATCAGAAACGATTGATAAAGAAGACATCCAACGAACAAGGTTTTATTTTAATTTCTGTTATTCTATATTAATTCTCTTCAGCCAAAAATAAATCTCTGTTGTTCCTCTTTCAGGTAATTGTTCTATTTCCAATGTTATTATTTAAATATTTGATTATTGCGATTTTTAGAATGAAAGCTATACGAGATCGGCGAACAGTAAAAGCAGCCGGTGTATCGGTATCAAATCCTGTCAGCAATACGATGCCACATTTTCCTTATAATTTCTTATATAGTATTCGATCGGGTTAGTATAAATATTAGTGTTGTCGTTTTCTTGAAAACTAAATTTTTTTGGCAAACCATCAATCGATGATGATGTTATGAAAATGCTTGAAAGCGGATTTTTCTTAACAAACTATTAATTGATGATATTATGAAAATTCTTTAGAGGCAGAACTGTGCATGCTTTAAAATGCGCTGTAATTAAAGACCTATTGCTTTGAATACACAATCTGTAGTATAAATAAATCAATATAATGATCTTTTGAAGGCTTAGCACCAATGATGTATGATCCAAACCTAATGGGTACACCGATACCGATGCTCCAAATTCCTGAAAGTGTTATGGCGCAAATAACAACGGATATGAGTTCCGGCCGTGAATCGTCGAAATTCACACAAGACGGCAAAACTTTTCAACAATTGGTTGCTGTACTTCCATTACGTGATTTTCAATGTGCTGGCAGTACCGATAGTGAGGTTAACTTGTTTTATTTCTTTTTTGCTTTTCTATGATATTCGTTTACATTTCCTATTTTCTCATGTTTTTCAAACATATTGATTATGTTTGATTTAAAGTTATTTAAAATTAAAGTTATAATTTCATTTAATATTCAGGTAGGCTGGGCTTGTCCTCAATGTACCAATGTATTTCAACAGGAACAGCTGTTGAAAAATCATCAGCGACTGATATGTCAGGGTTGTGATTCAGTGTTTAAATTGGTACAAACCCATTACCAGTGTCGGGCTTGTAATACAAAATTTGGTGCACAGGTTGGCGTTCTTCCTGTATTTCCTTTTTTACGCTATTAAGTAAAGTCTAAAATTTCGAAAAATGATTATGATAAGAGTTATATTCCTCACTTTCTGTTACGTAGTGTAAAATTTACTCAGCAATATTTTTAAGTAACGGTTTATTTTAAATTTCAGACCGAATTTCGAGTTCACTGTAATACGTTAGAACATCAGGCCGCTCGTGAAGTATTTCTCGGTAGGACAGTTTAATCTAAATGCATGATACTCGTCATCTACTATGAACTCAGAAATTTCAATAGACCGGTAAACATTCGTTCGCCAAATGCTCGTTTATTCGTTTATCCAAAAAGTATTCTCAGACAAAAATCTTTCATTCCAATTACGGTTTTGGTTTTTTAATTTCTGTGGTTTCTCAAATTCTTGCTTCTCAAATTTAAATTTTCCACATGCTAGTTTACATTTACCAGAGCATTTGTTATTGTCATCTACAGCGTAGTTTAGCATTTTTTGCATATGATAATGATTGTTATTACCATTATTTTCCAATATAACATACAGTAATAGCTTTCTTCGGTTAGCAATAATTATTTTCATTGAAATGATTCAATGATTAATTTTTTCGTTTGTATTCTAAAATTTTTGTGCTCCATGTACAGTATGTTTCCACATCTGTTTAATTGAATATGTATTTACAACAATTGAAATTTCAAAAAAATAGAAATTTTTGCGAACTCTGATTTTGAATCAGGGTTTTTGAAAATCCGGTGTAACTCATTATAATGAATGCATGTGCTCGTGAAGGATTTAGTTTCAGGTTTAAATCTGAATTCAAATAAAATTTTGATGAAACGTCGAATTGAAAATCTAAATCATATTTTTGGAATAAAAAATAAATCCAACTGGTCGCTATCTTATTTGCTCTGGTGTAAGATTCAAGTTGAAACTGTTGGAGTATTTTAATCGGAAGCTTTTTTGAATTCAAATTCAATTTCGCAACAGATTTGCACTATTTTAATTGAAAATTCAAATCTCACTTTTTAAAAACAAGTAAAAGATAATATGCGATATGATTATATTGATTTGATTGGTATGTAAATATTAAAATCATAGTTTTCGTTGATGTTTTTTGATTGCGCATGATTTCGATGCAACTATCGATTGATCAGTCTATTGATTTGTTTTTATGAGCTTTAGCTTAGTTTTAAACTTATATCTTATATCAGCAGCCAATTGCTGTTGAAAAGTTCAGCCTAATAATCTTTATTACTATTTTTTTAAAAAATTCTCGTTTGTAAAAAAGATTTATATTTGGAATTTTTAAAATCGTCGCTGTTCTGTGATTTGGATCTCGCGTTCTGTCAGCGTTATCATTGTCATCATCAATTTTACTAATTTTTTAAAATATACTCATCCCGTGTTTTCTTTTTCCACTAGTTTCATGCTTCTCTGGTAATTTTCCTTTTTTTGTTAATTTAATTTTACCGTCTTGTATCTATTCTTTATTGATCGCTCGCCTTACCAATCCTTTTCGCAATTTCCCAGATTGTCTTTTTTCTTAGGAAAATTTTTCTCGAACAGTAAATACATATTCTTGACTATTTAAAGTAATTTACTCTCTCGAATGTAAACACATAGCTTCAATGTTTAAACTGTTATTTAGTTAAACTCAAAAAAAGGAAAACATAAAGTATTACTTCTTGAAATTATAGATATATTGGATAGGCCTAGGATCCTAAATGCACTGTTCTTTCTTTTGCTTCAAAGAATGTAGTCTGAAAACAATGCTTTCTTTAATTTATCGGTGGCTTACCTATATAAGTTCGTAAAGAGAATATTTTATTCTTTACGAAGCAATATTTTTCACCTGCCTTATGGAAAAGTCAAGCGTTTGAAAATGTTTTAGCTCGCTTACTTAAAATCACGAATCTATTGATCCACTATTTCAAGTAACGATGATGGACTTGAGATTATTGTGTAGATGAATAATTTCATAATCTGAGCTTATTTCTCTTAGGAATTAAAATTGTTTCATTTCATATAGTTTAGCCTGTGAAATTTAGTTAAACTTCCTCATATCGTTCTAATGATTATAGGCATTGGTCCCATATGGATAGGCCACTGTTTTGTTTATCATTTTTACTTTCTTTTGTAGCAATAAATTAGTCGGAGCGTTGTTGCCTTATGAAACAGTGTAGTGCATTCGAAATTTGATATTTGTCATAAATTTCATGAAAATTTATTTATTTATTCTATGTGACTGCATCTTCCAACAATGTCCATACGATCTGTTCTTGCTTCCGGTTCTTCCTTTTTTATCTCTTACTATACTCTTTAAAATGTTTTTGTCTTCCAACCGGAGAAGTTTCGCAATTTTTCGCATGTAATTCTACATAGTTTGGCGTAATCACAATTCTGATATCTCAATATTTTGGAAATTTTATCGGAAGAACCTCCATTTTTTATGGAAAAGCTTTTTCAAAATTTCTGTACTTTGCTGATTTTTAATGATGATAATGCTGAAAATCGTAAAATGAATTAAATCTCTATTATTATCGGATTTCTTTTTCGATAGTAAAAGCGAAACTTCTTCCCAGTATCCTTACCATTTAAAACTCCAAAAAAAATCTTTCCGATATATCTTTGCCATTTGATTGTTTTTTATTTGCTAAATGTTATGCTGTTAAGTAAAATGTTTTTTGAAACCATAAATATGATACAGTTACTGATTTATTGTGGGAAAAGTTGAAAGCAAAGGAAAATATTTTGAGAGAAATAGTTATTGAGTTTAGCTCATCAATATTATAAAAGCTACAACCTTCTGCTCAGGATCACAACAATACTGTAACAGGGAAGATATTTGATAGTGTTAATCGTTTATCTTTCGGATTACAACATTTTGTGACGCTATGAGTTTTGGAATTTCAAACCCGTCTTGTTTTTTCTTTGCGACCTAGAATGCATAAACATTAAAGCAATTATTTTCGTCACAAATTCAAAGAGTATTGATATTTTGATCAAACTAAGTGTAAATACCGGTTTCATGAACAGTTTTACTTTTTTGGTGCCATAAGATGGAAATCTGTTTTGGGAAGAAATCAAGAAAATATTTGATATTACGGATATTATGGATACTTTATGAAATTAAATGAAATGATGCACAATAATAAATTTACCGCTTGAATTTTTGTTTTTAGATATATGATCGGGGAAAAGGATGGAGTGGAGGATAAAATAAAAACAATAAAGTCTTGTAATATTGTTCATTATATTTTTTAAACCAAAATATAATCTGCTGTATGAAGTTCGAGAAATGAGAAAGTATTTTTAAATGGAACAGAAGTTCCAACAAATGTTCTTAAATGTTTGAACACGCAATCCACGAACAAATCGTATAAGATAAAAAGGATCTTATGTGTGATCAAATATTATACTAAAGGGTTAATTTAGTATAGTATCGTTTTCTAAGGTCGAGAATGAAACGAAGATTGCAATTTTTAGTCTTTTAAAAAAATAAGGAAATTCATATGCTTATTTGGTAAATATCAAATCCATATAACTTTTCATATATGGAAATCTTTATAAGAAAGAGATTTGAACATTTCATTTGGCTTTAATATATTTACAATAAGAAGATTCCTTTATTAGCGTTTATTTCTTTTTCTACAATATTCTTCCAATCCGTTTATTAAATATTTACTCGATAACTTAGATGGTTTTATTTTTCACATTTTTGATGAAATATTTTTTTTTTGAGAAACATAGGATAATAATGCAATCAATCACTTTGCGACTTTTAGACGCATATGGAAAACAACTCTGCACCACAGAAATATTCAATTATTTCCAGTTTTGTTCAATCGTTCGTTTAAATCTGTCTTATTCATTGGTTTCACAATTTCACGCTACTTCGATAATATCATAATCTTCGGTAATCTTGTTATCTCGTCGAAATGTTCGAATTATCAAGAAGGCTCGAATCTTTCATTAAAACTGCCAGATGTCATATTACAAAGTAATCATTAAAAAAGTACTATTAATGTACAAATATTATATTTTGGAGTGGAAAAAGTGAACAGATAAATAAATGCTTTTCAATTGTTGAAAGGGTGGTGTGATCTTTCCGATCAATGAATGTAATTGTTTTAGAGAGAAAGAAACTCAGCATATGAATTTAGAATAATTCTCATAAAAGAAGGAATTCGATATGTGAAACCTTGATCTGAAAAAAGGTTGCTTGCAATGTCAAAATACGAAAAAGAGAGAAACGATTCTTTTCATAAATTTACTATGCTTCACTTCAGCTCTTTATTTATTTCATTTAACCCACCTGATACAACAACTCGGGATCCCTTATGACATAAACGGCCTCATAAAGTTCTGCAACAGTTTTTAATATAGAATGTGATGATACGCATATTTGATATTGTTTGAAGAATATCTCTGTGTTGAAATAATAACGATTGAATATTACAATTAACTTTATTCAACGATATACAAATTCATCGCTATAACTAATTTTTATCAAGTGCAAATTTGATTGATAAATAATAAGCATATGGTAATTATTTCATCGTGGCTGTCATATATGTTCTTTATTTCACTAAACTGATGTCATAATAACACAAAATTTTTTGATTTAATTACTTTCTTGAATGATCACAGAAAATTCATCAAAAATCATTGAAAATGTAATCATCTGGCTTTGCTGATGAATAGTTTCCTTAATCTGTAATATGGCCAAAATTATATTCATTTTGATAACTGAAAAATTTAGATTTTTTGAACATTTTATAATTTGAGTAAAAACAATTAGCCGTAATTATATTCATTATTTGATAATTGAAGAATTTAGATTTTTTTGAATACTTTTATATTTTGAGTAAAAACAATTAGCGTCAAAATCTTGCCCAGATTCAGTTTTTTGCTGGTTGATAATTCTATTCCATTAAATTCCTGTTTTCCGGGTATTGCTATTTCCATTCCATTAAATGTTCTACATTGTGAGGAAGAGAACACTTCGAATACCTCAGAAAGAATCGAAATATGAAATCATAAAGCATAATACTTCAAATTGCATTCGCTATTATTATCTTATTAGATTTAATAAACTATAAACTTCATTTAAACTTCTATCGAATAGTTTATTAAATTAGATTGTCTTAGATTTATACTAAGCTTGCAACTATTCTTCATGTAAATTTTTATTAGTTTAATAAACTATGCGA